GACTGCATTTAAGGTAGTTTTCGAAGCTTGTAGATAAAACTAAAATTAGTCTGGCACAGTCAAGTTGATCATTGGCTTATCAGGTCCTCATGACTAAAGACTTAATGCACCAACAGTCCTCTGAGTCAGGGCTCCAGACTGTGACAAAATGTTTGAGAGCATGCAAGTTAAAATTTGAAGTGGTCGCATTTGTGTGAGTAAATCCTGAAGCTGTTTTGCTGTCACTCTGACTGGCATGGGCAGCTACTGTGTTGGCACATTGGTGAAAATAAGTACTTTTATAACGTCAGTGGCTCTGTTAGTCTGTCCCTGCCCGGTGTGTAAAACACGGTGTTTAACTACTGCGTGTTTCAAAGATGAAGGCAGCTGGTGGAGAAAGACAGGTTCCTTGGTCATCTTGGACTGTTCTGACATTAGAATGCATTATTTCACTCTTTTTAATGTAATTTTGTCACACACCTGTCCGAGCACACTACAGCCACTAAGCAGCAGCTCGCCTTCAAAGTGAGGTGTTCAGAGAGAATCGGTAAATTTAGAGTCCATCAATAAGCAGATGTTCAGAAAGTGAGGTGTTTTACCTGTGACATGGTGGGAGTGCTACCAGTGGAAAAGGTAATCTGGAGCCCTGCTCTGTGCCATCATTCTTCACCTACACAACTGCAGATCATCCCTTATGCTACTTAGAATAGCAGGTACCGGTGGAACGGTTATGCATGGCTACCATTGTTGCCTCACAGTTTGAAGGTAGCTGGCCTTTCTGAGTTTAAGGTCTATCTATGTGGAGTTTGCATGTTCTCCCTGTGCCTGTGTATATTTTACAGAGTGCTTCAGGTTCCTCCTACAGGCCAAGGACATGCAGACGTTAACTGTTGACTCCAAATTGTCTGGAGTTGTCTGTCTCTGATGACCCTGTGATGGATTAGTTACCTGTTCAGGTTGTACCCTGTCTTCACCAAAAGTCAGCTTAGATAGGCTCCAACAATCTGTGACACAACAGAGGATAAAGCTGTGTGCAGAAAAAAGGATGGATGGTACAGATGCTCAGTGGACCATATAGAAGGCTTCCACACACTCCCAGTGGAGTTTAGTGAAAATATAAATCACATTTTGTTTGTCACATTATTTTGTGGGACTGTAGAACACAGTTCATAATTGTACCTTTAAACTATGTAAAGCAGGTTTGTAAAATGAGGACCATTTAAAATTGGTTTCCTTGTTTTTGTGCTCATTTAAACACTGTGAATCTTAAGCTCTGGTACAGGCTTTGTGATTTCAGGAGCTGTCTGTGTCATGGTTGCTCAGATTGTTCCAGAGCATCAGTCAAGCAGAGTCACTGCCAAACTCAGATGCATGTCATTCATAAATGGTGTGTCCTACCTGAACTAGTGGGCATTATGAAGGACTTACAGTGTATAAATGAACATGTGAGCACTATGTTAGGACTTGCTTGAAGAAAACCCTTCGTTTAAGACTTGATTTTAGGGTTGAAGTCCCTGCCCAGTCATTGGTAAACTTGGTAAATGGTACATGGTCTACACTTATTTAGCACCTCTAAACCAAAGCTAGGTTCTACAAAGTGCTTTACAATGTGTCTTGAGCAGGACCACTACAGAATGTGGAGGGTCTGGGGATTGAACTTCCAACCTCACAATGATACTGCACCATAAAATGTATGTCTGTGTATCAAAGTTAGACATCTAGAAGTCTTTACTTTCATAAAATGATTTTTCATACCTTAAAATAGTCAAATGCAAATATAGACAATTGCTTCCTCCACAATGTGAACATCTATAACGTCCACGCCTATGTCTCCCCGCTTACTGCAGCTCAGCACACCAGCTCACCTATAACGTTGCTGTGAAACTACTCTGCCCTACACAATGGCACAAGCTGCAATATTGGTGTGACTCAGCCACACAGACAGTAGATTGTATTTGGTGAACCCTGTCTGTGGAGAATGTCCCACATCAGGTTAGATCCTTGTTATGATCACAGGAAGTATTCTTCTAAATTGTGAATGACTGCTCTGTGTACACACACCACAATATAGCAACCACAGGGTTTCGTCACGAACATGAGGTTAACATGATGAGCTGACTGTGTTCCAGTATTTCCTATGGCTACGAGAAAAAAACAAACATTTCTGAAGAAGCATGGAAAGGCACACCCTGCAACCTCCAAGGGCTGGTTCCTTAAGTTTGTTAAGCATGAAAACCCAGCAGAGGTTGAGACAGTCATTGGTACGCTTCAAATTCAGGGTAGACATGCTCAGCCATGGTGATGACTGCTTATTTCCTTAATGATGTGTCTTCTAGAGAATTAAAAAAGAACACCTTATGAACATGTTTAGATTAAATAAATAAATAATAATAATTTTTAAAAGATGTATATTCTTCAGTTAAGGGTAGGTGAGGTTGGGGCTGGAAATATGTCAATTCTGTTAGACCACAGGGACATCTGCTGCCAAAAGACTGCAACTGCAAACAAAGCCTGTATAATCCTACACATGTCCAACAAACCTGTCAATAAATTCTACAGGAATATAAACATTGAATATGTTTGGATTTTTGTTAATTTTCTGTGTTATGTTGTTTGTTTTTTAATTGGAATTCCAGCGCTGAGCCACGCCTTTTGTTTCCTTAATTTGAAATGATTTGTGCTTGTTTCTATTTTGAGAGTTCCTGTATTTTGGCTTCCTTCCCGCAGACTCCTCCTGTGATAAAAGCACAACAGGAAAACTTGGAGCTTCAAGGTCCAAGGAGATCAAGGTTCACTCATATCAGAACGCAATAGAGAAATCAGGAGGTCACAGTTACTATATCTGTCGGTTTAGACTGACCATCTAAACCTCTCCATCCAGAGTCAAGAGTTAAGCGATGGGGGTATTGAAAGTGATTCTTAAAGGAGACCTAAACAAAATCCTACCAGTGATGCTTAGCAATAACGACATAAACGCCAAATAAAAGGCTCCCATGAGACCAGTTGTCACATTTAGATTTATTTTTTACTATAACTTGAGAACATAGGGCCTGGATTGAATTAGATTGGGGTGACTCACTAAATGACTCGTAGACAAAACAGACAAATTACACAAACCACGTCAGCATGAGTATGTATTTTATATCTCCACCCAAACTATAAAATCTCTCATCTAAATCATCTACCATGTAGGCGCTTAACCCCAGGGGACTCTCAGCTGTGAGGTCAGGTGTTGTCTCAGCTCCAGCTTAAGCCACAGACCTAGTAATCTTCATTAAAGTGACTTGAGGTTGACAGCAAGGCACATGTACAGAAAACAAAACAACAGTCTCAAACAGCACGCACTGACGCCTATTTTCAGATGTAAAAAGTCTGTTGTGGCTAAACATCCAAATAACTGACAAAACGTGTGGTATTCTTGCGAATCCTGTGGCCGGAAAGAAAATCCTTCATTGTGGTAAATCATTGTTGTGTTGAAAGAAAATATTTTTCCAGAGTAAGAATGACAACCGCAGGCTGTGATCGCAAACATGAGGACAACGTGCCGAGATGATCGTCTTCAGTCATGCATAGCAATTACAGTTATTTAGTGTTCAGTGTCTGAAAGTGGAAACTACATTCAGGAGTACCGCATGTACATATTATCCATCCATTATTTATACACCACTTAATCCTCACTAGGGAGGGGGGCTGGAGCCTATCCCAGCCGACTTAGGGCAAAGGCACCCTGAAACCCTGGACAGGTC